TGAAATCTCTTTAAGTACTCAAAGCATCTTTCCTATTGAAGGTTTTCAGCACAAAGACCGCAAACGTCGTTTATTAATATGATATTCTTCAGTCCTAAGGTCTGGTTCTTAACTGAGGGCGAGGCGACCCAGCATGATCAGTCGGACCAGGTTTCCCTATATGACCGACTCAATTCCTTGAATCAGTAGTGATCTATATTTACGGAAGAGCATGTATGTTGCTTCGGTCATATATTAGTAGGAAATTATGGAACTTATTCAGGTTAGCATTGCATGGTTATAGTTATAAGGAAATGCGAATCATTCTTCCACATACAAAATTAATCGGTGATATTCCGAATCCATTCTAGGAAAAAAAAGAAAATAGAAAATTTCACTAATGGGAAAAGCCTTTGTAGGGAGAAAACGAAAATGTCAATTGTAAAGCAAGTTATGCTGACAATGAGTGCTACTGTTGACTAAATTTGCAATATCGATGGTCATGGCCTGTGTACAGTACAACGCGCATACTGGAGCGACATGTATGACTCCTCGTTGTTGTGTGTAATCTCCTATTTGCATGGCTGTTACCACCAGTTACCAGTCCATGTGATCAGTCTTAATTTATAAATCCGGTTTATACTTTGCACACGCGGGTTACTCAAAAACTTGCGTCGTCAACAATGGTCGCCTTTCTGACTCCATCGCCGAAATTATTTTTAGCTATGACTTATTCATTTGCATAAAATATTAATTATATTTATTCATTGCTATCAATGCATGTCTGTCTGGAAAAGTCTGTAAGCATTTCGATAAACGGAAATTAAATTGTAAAGAAGAAAATTTTAGTTTGTAATAAGTACTTGCTGTACGATAAACATACATCTGCGATATTCGAATTCTACATGTTTCATTTAATCCTTTCACTTCATTTCAGTTATGTTTTTCACCACGTCCAAGGCTCCAAATATATCGATTCTACCGTTTTCATTTTCGGCCAGTATACTCTGTTTGATAATTTCGGAATGATTCACTGTCTTGAGGTAATGAGTGAAATGGTATTTTGCAGGTGAAACCCATCAACTATCGGTTCGAAATAACACGAAGCCGTTTGTCATGACTATGGGTAGGTGGGGAGCGGGCAGTGGCAAGTTTATCAACAAGTTTATTCGGCTAATGTTTCACTGAGATGGAACTCAGAGGCTTCCACTTCAGCTGTAAATGTAATTAGGAATTCTGTGAGCTGCGGATATAATAAATAAAAGAATAAGATCCAGTTTAACGACGAGAGAAAAGTTGAAAGATTAATGCCTGTAATTCTAAAAGCTTACTCGTGGAGACATTACGACGTGATTAAGATCTCACACTCAATGAGTTTGAGTTAATTGAGTATGAGTGAGCTTTTAGAAAACAGGCGTAATTCCTCAAGATTTACGGAGAATTTAATATCAATAATGAAAACAATAGTTGTATAGGACGCTCAAAACACTCCATCCGCATAATTTAGAGATTACCATCCAAGATTCATAGGTCCTCCATGGATGGTTTCGATCCTTTTTGGGAGGGGATGAGTAGAGAGGTCGGTGTATATTCAACTATTCGTTTTGCCCGACGGATTTCCTTTGTACGAATATGCCAATATGATTATATGAATATATGAATTATGAGTATATGAATATAGCGTGCATCCAACTCCCACAACTCGGCAATTATGAATTATTATGTAACAAAATTAAAAAATCAAAATTCCCGGAGAGTACTGAGTACAGACAAGACAAATAGGCTTAAAATTCTATAGAGCTCGTTCTCTTAAGCCCCGTTTACACTAGACTCGATTTATCGGCACGGCACGGCACGGCTAAAATGAGTACCCATGCCCATTTCATTCGTGCCCGGCCTTTGTTTTGGTAGCCTGAACACTATTAAAATTGAACACGAGTACCTATTTTAGCCGTACCGTGCCGATAAATTGAGTGTAGTGTAAACGGGGCTTTAGACTGTATAAGCGTTCATACAAATCACTATTAAGAATTCGCCCGACTGGATCCAAAATTGCCTGGACTTCTCTTTATGGTGTGTTTCTAATCCGTGAAATATGAAACCACTTTTTGGCTTAGGCTAAAGTTTGATGTCTGCTATGATGTGTGATATGCTCATGCCAAGCTGTGATCTGAGTCATTAATCTCTCTCTATCGTTTTACAGGATTAATATCATTCCTTTGACCGGTGAAGCCAGACAAATGCGGCGTCCGGCTATTTCGAGTGCTTTTGCGTATAGGAGAAACCGAGAAAGCAAACTGCAAATATAGATGTTTCTAGAACCTAAAATTCTTATTCGGGTCATGAGCGACGTTTTCGCAGAGCGCGTCAAATCGCGGCGTTTGTACACAGGGACCAGTTGTTCAAGCCCGATTAGCGTTAACCCTTGGTTAAATTTCAGCCTGCTGTTTCTGTTTCTGTATTTACTGATGGATTTCCTGTTCATGAAAGTGAAAAGTAAAATCGCTATTGAACCAGGTGGAATTCTGAAACAACGTTTGAACTTGATAAATGAATTGTTCAAGGTTTTATTTGTAGTTTTATTAACCACGTGATCCTCGCTTCAAAGGTTGTTTCGAAACTTTTTCTTAAAGAGACTAATCAATGAAATTTATACTGACCATGATATTCATTGCTTGTAGAGGACTTAACTATAGGTCTTAAATTTAAATTGTAATTAATGTAATCATGCCTGCCTAAGAAAATTTTAGGGTGCGGTGCGTTCTTCAGCTGGGAGTGGCTTTAAATAAAGCACTTATCATGTACGCTGAGAGCTTTTTAATTAGAGTCGGGAATCTTGGAACCAAGATTAGATCTTTTTTCCATAACAAGCCATTTTGACCGTGAGTATATTATTATCGCGGCCCTGTCGTCGCTTTGAGCTTTCAGTCTAAGATTCACTTTTTTTAACTGATGAATGTCGATGACCGCAGATAATAATTTGGCTGAGGATGTTAGTGCACCCCTCGTACACTACTCCTGCAGTCCTGCTTCTGTGCATGACGTTCAAAAATTCAAAACGACAGCAGAAAATCAAACCTGCATGATTGTGAAAATAAAACGGCCGGATGGCCAATTTACCATAAACAACGATATTTGAGCTTGTTATATTTACAGACTGTCATATATCGTGCATGGTTATTCGCGTGACCTATAGTTCATCCGGTAAATACTGGGTGCAGATGTAGTTTATCAGGTAAACAGTTTATCCGGTAGATCCTCATCATCCTCCTATAAGTAGAACATTATCCGGTAGATCCTCGTCATCCTCCTATAAGTAGAATATCATCCGGTAGATCCTCGTCATCCTCCTACTGATAAGTGCTAACCCGGAAAATACTGCATGAATGGATTTTTTGTTGACTGAATTTCTTACTGAACCTTAATTCTACTATACTTCGGTCTACTATACTTCAGTTTCTATATTCAGATTGTACTGATTTAAACATTCAGTTCTTTATCCCTGCATGCATGCGTCCGCGTCCCGCGGTATCAGTTACTCATCAGCCAACAAAAATAGGAATATTGGCTTTGGGAATACAAAAGCTAGGTTTCTGTAACCTATATACTCGTTTGTATGCAGCGCAGAATAATGACAATAAAACCAACTCAAGCACAATGTATAGAATTCAAATATAGAACTCGGTATGTAATATGGTATAGAAACAGGTAAAAATGAAATATAGAGAACAGGCTCATGAATTTTGCTTTAACAGAAACTATATATATATATATATATGCTATGCTTGACTGGTATACTGTCACGTAAAATTGGGTGTCTCATTGTTGATTGAAGCATCACTACGCCGAAAACTTGAGATGACTCATACAGTAGTTTTTCAAAGGTTGATGTCATTCAGTAATCACAAAGCGGTCACTCTCGACAAAGTCATATAATGATTTTCTTCAGACACCGCATTTCCAATTATCACTGCATGGTGCCCCATAATACCTCACCAGGAACAATAATATATACGTAAATTAATAGCTATTTCTGGGCAATAGAAGCGTTTGTTGTCCTTTCTCGCTCGAAGGCCTCGGCAGATAAATGAGCCAAGGGCGATAGACTGTGAGCGTACTATACATGCATGTATGTCACGATTTTTCTTAATTTCTAGCTACGAATTTCTATAGAGCGAAAAGGAAGTAAATAGTGTTTGTACTACAGGTACAGAATGGAAATTACATGCAGTAGTTTTTTCTTACAGTTCTGAATGAATTTGAGTTTATCCATTGCAGATATGCATGTGTTATATATTTAAAACATGGCCAGAAAATTCGGACATAATTAACATTCTACTTCCGCTTAAATTTGCATATGGTGTCAAAATAAAGCTTCGTGAGCTTATAGTAAACTGTTATGTACACAGTACTAAACGCTAAAAATACACCTTTAGGTAGGTCGATTATAATTTGCCTTAATTTCTCGTTGCAGAGCAAGTTAATCTTAATATTTTTATATAGTATTTCAAAATGTTTTATCAGTATTCGTCCTGCATTTTCAAAACAAAGTTTTGGTCATTGATCACGTTGAATACCATATAAAACGAAAACCGTAATAGCGTAGAAATAAAATAAAAATGCAGAGCCGACATAAGCCTTTACCAGCAAAATATTACTTCAGGATCTTTAATATGACACGAATCGCAAGAAACAACCAGGGCAAATTGCAAAGATGCAATGATTTTCTTAAATTTTGCGAAATTTAAGAATGCGCAATATGATTTATAGTTCTGCAAACGAATAATATTTGAACAGATATGCAAATTTGCTACGGCAATCTGCATATTCCATGTCCGCAATTTCTGGCCATGACCCAATGCAGAAAAGGACATGAAAACAACTTGATTCCTTGCATGACCAGGTGTTATATTGCTATTCCCCTTTGAGTAATTGCTCGCGCACGTCATCTGAAAACCGAGATCAACCAATCAGAGAGATGAATTAGTCATCGCAACGTGACAGCTGAAATCTTTCATTGAACTGTTTCCATCACAGCAAACTTGTTTGACACCGACCTGTAGCAAAAGATCTTCAACAAGAAATAAGCAAACCTGGAAGTTATACTGACAACAACGGAACATACAACACCAAAACGTGCTGTCCTAAGAAATACGATCCAGGTATGGTACAGGCTGCTGATGTATATTTTTATTTTTAAAAAATTCAAAGTAAAGGTCGATGGTATCACATGCACATGACGCAGATTACGACGAAAGCGATAGTATGCGCGCATTTTATAATAAAGCGCAATCATTCTGAGAAATTGAGTGCGTGCGTGCAAATGACTTTGCGCTAGAGTGAAATGATCAACAACTTTCATACACTGAAACTCGTTCGTTACTCTGCTTAGAACAGGAATTCCTATGGTCACAATTCTTTTGAGAAATGCTTGACGGCAAGCACGAGATCTAGCCCGATTTTAAACAGCAATGATGCTCTTCAGTCCCAAAAATATACGCTTGCAAATGAACCTCGATAAACAGCTTGATTTTGTTGCCAAGAGTATGACAGTTACAGTGTGTCTACACAACAACACCTTCCATAATCTGTTAAGTTGGTTATTAAAAAAATTTAAAATGCATCCTGATGCCTAAAATGATGAAGGTCCATTGATCAGACAGAAATGTCCAGTGTAGGTTTTAACCAGATGTATTTTTGTACGTCTTCAACAAGAAGGTATTAATCGTTGCAAGACGAGCACATATTGTTCATCAATCATTTCATAATTATTGAGATGATTCTGAAATTCGATATTCTGCAAAAGCGATGCATTTTCCATCCTACGCCGAAAAAACCTTTAATTTGAATCGCATATACAAGCTGTCTAAAGTTCAAGGCGGCACTCACCAGAAAAGCCCTGGCCCGAACGTCTCCCACATATAACAAAGATCATTAGATCAATGATTGAGGTAAAATGAGAAATTAAAAAATATTTTCGGTCGATGTTTTAAAAAATACCACCGTTCTCTCCTTGCACATTTGTTTTCTCTGTAATCAACACAGCAGGATGTGCATGCACGCACAGCTAAAACTACCATCCATGCTTCTCTGTTTACTGTTTGTTATTAGAACTCTTTTCTGACTTTTCTCGAATGGTCTGGATGCATCTACTTTTAATTAATTATTTATTCAAATTATCAACATATATAGAGCAGTAAATAAGACTTAGAGAGTAGAGACTAATCTAAAAACAAACGTTTGACGCAGCGCTTAATCAGTTGCTTTTTTCAACCCCATTCTCATTGATATCATCGACTGTCAGCGATGGCTATTGTTTGTGATCACTCGAGAATACATTCCTTTGGTATTTTGTATAAGTTTTCTTCGTTATCAGCCACCAACAATGCACTATCGATGACCATGCATTGGGAATCAGGCTAAAACGTACTTTTTTGCTATGTACCTACATCGGCTATAGCAGCTGTAGCTATAGCCTCAGCAATGACAGGCTCTGTATAGCCTTGTTTTCATATGTCGCCGACGTCGGCAAAGTATTATTGTCGTTGATTATTGATAAGTGAAATCTTTTGTCTTTCTGAAATCATTTTCTCCTTGGATGATTACAGACAATAAGTCGTCGACAGGTCGGCGTCATATGGAAACCAGAAACCAGTGTACGCGAAAAAATTGACAAGATTTCCTTGACAAGGAGCCTTGTTAGTTGTTCAAAAGCTAGTCATACCAGCTTTTCAACAAGTAAAAATACTCGTGTCCAGGAATTGCGCAGTAGGGAACAGCGCAACAATCTTCGAGCCAATCGAGCGGGTTTTTGAAGTTTTCTCATTTCTGTTTGCTTTGAGACTCGGTCGTATACTCATTTTATCATGTTTTCTCATACTGTCGTAAAATATAGTCATATTATCGTAAAACTTGTCGTGCGTACACACAAAAGCAAGGAAAACTTGTCAACGAAAACTTGCCCGTCATACACACCAGCAAGTGAACTGGTCAAGAAAATTGGTCAAGAAAATTTGTTAATTTGGCTTAATAGTTTATTTTATTTTTACTTTGTTAAGGTAATTAAAGATACATGATGGCATTTGTGATACATATTATGCTGTTTTGCTTGACATATATACAAGGTATCTATATATATCACGTTGGTCATATTCGGCAAATTTTCTCCCGGTAAAGAGGGCTCAGTTTTCCAGCGGTCTTCGCATGAAAAATTAGAAGCTTTTCGTTTTACGCCTTGCTCTCAATTTTGTGTAAGTTGTCCGCTGACAATATGAGCCTGCACGAGTGGGAGAAACTTAGCTAAGTTGGACCAGCGTGTATTGGCTGTAAAGACATAAATCATTCCTCTCTGCAGTGTTAAAAATTCAACTGTTTTGTCTGTGGTAATGTATAGGTGAAGGGGGAAATTGAAATTCAACCATTCTGGCGCTATATATAATTCAGCTGAGTCATTTGTCTCTTGATTGTTATATTTTCGAATGTTTACCCTGCATACTGTGCCCTCTTACTAATGTTAACAGTGACGTACCTATAGAAGTTAGAACGTGAAATAGCTTGCAATAGTAATCCGTCGGACAGAACTGAATATATGAATAAGCACCCCCGATTATCTTTCTAATTACGCTCCTGCTTACTATAAAATGATCAAATCACTCATACATGTACATTGTAAAACTAAATGACGGTTCATGTGTCTTTGCTCGTAAATAGAAAATAGTTTTAAGAAATAACAATCGTTTATCACTATTTTCCTCCAATGTTAGTAGACTAGGGTGCAGCCGCTAAATTTAAAGATAATAGGACATAATACTTATATGAATTTCTTCACCTTATATACAGACACTTATGCGTTTTCATTCACAAGAATATGTAATAGTTCATTATAGGGGTTGTTAAATCCCATCTCCCCGACATTTCTGCCGCTTCACTTGTGTCTATCATCTTCAGTTTAATATCCACTTTCAATTTTTGCGATTTCTGTTTGTCATTATTTTGTCTTCCAAGACACTTCTATTCTTCTGCGACCATTTCTTAATCATGAGTGAATGATGAATCGCCCCTCAGTTTTCATTATATTACATTATTACTCTCATTTTGTTGCTAATGTAGCTGCACCACCAAGACTGAGCGAGGAAACTCCAAAACACTACACAGGTTTTGCGGACAATTTCCAGAAATTGAAATGCTACATCGAAGGCGGGGAAAAATATGAGTGGTTTCACAATGGAACAAAGATTCCATCATCTTCATCCATGTATTACATGTATAAAGACCAACTATTTATCATGGAAACCCCGGCCAGTAATAAATATCAAGGGATATATCAATGTACAGCATCTAATGACTATGGAACAATTCAGGGGCCGAAAATTAAAGTATATTTTTCAAGTACGTGAGTATAAACCTATCTAGAATAACACTGAAAATATTGCACCAATTGCAGCATATCAAATTAGCTCAAATTGGCCAAATACGTCCACATATAGCTAATGTCAAAAAATGTAAAAAGCTGTCCGCAAATAGCATGTATTAATCGCAGTTTAGATTAGATTAAATCAGTTTAGATATATTTGTAAGACTTGTAAACCAAGGACTTCAGTCCTGGTTCGCTAAAAACAAGTATTAAAACAAGTATACGAACTCGGTATAGTTTAAGCTGCGAGGAACATTAAACGTATTACATACATCCAAAAAAGGAGCTTAACATTGTTCGCATGTGCGGCGAGGCTTTGTTACAAGGAATCACATGAAGATTATTCTACAGTGCAGTGGCTTGCTTTTTTTGCAGTAAAAACTGCCTCCCCAAAAAGTAAGGTGACAGATAAAAAATCGATGTAAAATGAGTTTATGTTTATACTCTTTTAGTTGTTGGCAGATTTCTGAGGAACGACGAAGAAGTTGAGGTGAAAGAGGTTACAGTAGGAAAGGACCTCGCCCTAACCTGCCCCCCTCGAACCTTGTCACGCAACGTTTTCTATCATTGGGGAGGCCAACGGGGTGTTACCGGCGCGTGGTTTCTCCCACAAGCAAAACATTATATGATTATGAACGACGGTACACTGTTGTTCGCTCATGTAAAAAATGAGGATCTCGAATACTTCAATGTCGTGAAAAATGGCGTTAGCTGTAGCATCGAGTCCAAGGGGAAGAGCAAGCGGTTTGCGTTTTCGCAACGGTTTCTTCTAAGTGGGGTTGGAGGTGCGAAATTCAATCAATTCGACTAGCCGCAGTGTTGTTCAAGCCTGCATGCATACACTATAGACTCTAGAGTCTGATCATCCATTTCGACGTGTCAATTTAGTAGATCAGAACGAATCCGAACGATTCCTTTCTCTATATTTAATGTATTTTCCTAGAAGAAGAGTTTACAATGACCGCAAAATCTGTTTCAAAGTTGAAGTTAAGAAAAGCTATGTCACATATTACCCTGCGTATACACTCGTATATTTAATGGTGTGAAACTTGTAAGGTAGAGTTCGTTGTTTTATAAGCGGACCAGTGGTAGAATTGGCGAAGTCGTCACTCACAGCCTATAAGGCAGTTTGCAACCAATCTATCGAAGTGTTTATACAATTATACAAGTTAACCATTCTATCGAAGTGTTTAGATGGATAACGCAGGAACAATAACTGCATTCACACCCACTCTCAAGCAGCACAGTGTTTCTTCTCATTGGTGCATGGTCTAATACTTAAACCGTTAAGATACATATAGATTGAAGTATACAATATATGGAACTATATTTTTTTGTTTTTTAGAAGAAAATAGGACACCATTTGGACCAACAATAAAAGCAGCCGAAGAAGATCGAGAAATAGCCAAGGGAGCGCCTTTTGTGGTTTTCCGATGTGGAGCAGTGGGTCTGTAAGTTTACAAAATTTTAAAATTTACCAGAAACTAAGTAGTTACTTACAAGCAAATACAGAGAGAAAATAAATTTTTATCTAGCTTAGATATTTAAATGCCATTCAACGTGTCATATTTTTTCTGCATGGTCTATTGATAGTACACACTATTTGAAGACACCACGCTATTTATATATTTCCATATATTACCTAATATATATTGTGTCTCACCATAACAACTTGAAAACTGAAACAACCATGGTATAAAACGTAAATGGAAATTATATAAACTAACGATCCAGAATTCGTTATTAGGCCCACACCGGAATATTCGTGGACATTCACTGGGCTGGATGGTGTCGAGACTCAAATCACTGACGATGAAGATGGCTACCAGCTTCGAGATTATAACCACGTGCTAACGATAATATCAGTCGAGACGAAACACGACGGCTGGTATAAGTGTAGAGTTAATAGTAACTATAGTGGGCAAGAACATTACGATGAAAAAATAGCAAGACTTTCAGTTAAAGGTTTGAAGAATTTATCAGTTTACTTTCTGCTGCATGGTCTTAAGCCAGGTTTACGCCAGAATATTTTGTAATTAAATATTCCCCCTCCTCATGTATTATCGCGTTGGTTCCTGTACGGGCCTGAACCTATTGGCCCAGCTCGAACCTCTCTCGATAAATTGAATTGAACAACTCTAAGGTCTTGTTTATATGAGAGGCAGGACGGGACGTTTGCCGGGACGGGACAGTGACCGGGATCTCGCCTTGTATATGTTTGTATATCTTTCGTGCGGTGTTTATATGAAAGCGGGGTGTTTTTTGTCATATAAACGCTTGATCTCGCTTAACCGGGACAATATTACGCTGACATTGCATTATTTGATCTATGTCACTGAACGATATAGTATCCTCGGGAGAAATGCAGTACCCGTTCCGGGTATTTCTGCGAGAAAACATCCCCTTTGAAAAACAATCATGTAAACGCGGGATAAAAAAATATCCCGTCCGGGCAAACGACCCGTCCCGTCTCTCATATAAACTAAAACTAGAGCCTAAAACACATTACTATCTCATTAACCGCCTTCTTCAGGAAAACCGAAATGGGGTGCAAACGGTACTCTATCGGACGCAACGGCTAACGAGGGCGTTAGATTTTTATGGTTGTGTAATGCTTATGGAAATCCCGATCCTACATATACGTGGTTCAAGGAAGGACGTAAATTACCTGAATCGTAAGTTAATCCTTTCATGAGGCATGAGCTGTATTGTAAAAACACTAAACTATGCAACCTGTCGTCGAAATTCCAGTAAAATCGAAAGTCTGCATTGTTGTGTGAATATATTTAGTACTTTTTAACCATCACATCAAGTATTCAAGTATTGTTAGTTTATCGCAATTCAACTAGCCCATATTCTCCACATGGGTGAAAAAGGCTTCAGTGGTTAAAAATGACAGTTGATTAGCTCGACAAATCTCCGTATAAAATCTTCAATGTTGGAAATGATAAATTGTAACCATAGAGCGAAGACAAGCAACAACATTACTGCATGTGCATGATTCAGTGCATCGTGCACTACCTCATGAACTTCATCTACTATCAACTACCTTATGATCTTACATTACATCTCATCATTGATGCATTTTCAGGGATGAATATGATATTCAAGATGGTGTGATTACTTTTAAGTCCATATCAAAAGACGATGAAGGAGTGTACCAATGTGTGGCTGCAAATAATTTTGGTGAAATAACGTCATCCGCGACATTGAAAGTGAAAGCAGGTATACGTTAAGTTCTAGAGGTTGAAAGGGTCTTAATTTTGAGTGGAATTATACACACTTCAAATTCAAGCTAGGAACAGTTGATGTAAAAATGAGTCAACTATCGGTCCTCCGGCAGGAATCGAACCTACGCTTTTGCGATGCCGGTGCAATGCTCTTGCCATCGGCATCGCAAAAGCGTAGGTTCGATTCCTGCTGGAGGACCGATAGTTGACTCATTTTTCCATCAACTGTTTCTGGCTTGAATTTGAAGTGTGTATTACATCCACTCGAAATTTAAGACCCTTTCAACCTCTAGAATTTCCCTACATCGAATGAAGTGCCAAAAATCATAATATACGTTAAGCGTCTAACAATCAGACTCAATACAAATTTTCGATGATCATACAATTTTGCCTGGTAGTGTCGTCCACATGAATCGTTAGCAACTCGCAATTGCTTATCTAATGAGAACGAGTTTCTTAGGATAAAAAGCGTGTGTAACAGAAAAAGGGTGTGCCGGCTGAGCATAGTGAATGCTATAATTTACCATAAATACATTTTATGTCGATAATGACGGATGATGATGGAAGAATGTCTTGATGTTATGTGAAGAGTGCGATTACGCAAATTGCGCTGCACACTGCACACTGCAGTGCAATTTCAAGTGTAATGGGACTGCTTTGCGAATCATGATGAATAATTGATAAAAATTCTGTTTTCCTCCTGCAGCGCCAACGACTTTACCTCCAACAACTCAACCTCGATGCGGTGTCTCGAAAATGAATCTAATGTTCTTAGTTGATGGTTCGGGCAGCGTTCCCTTAGCTACTTTCGAAGAATTCAAAAAATTCATGGCACTCTTGGTTGAAAAATTCGACATCGGTCCTGACACTACGCATGTTGGCGTTTTACAGTATTCAAGTGAGCCGCGGACAGGGCTGGAGTTTCATTTTAGTGAACATCAAACTTTAGCAGCGGTGAAAGATGCAATTTCTAAAGTGAAATATCATTATGGAGCGTATACTTTTGGCGGATATGCTATGAGATTAGCGCAGCAGGTAAGATGGAAAACACGAAGTTATTCTACGATCTTCAGTCACATGAGGATTTTCTGTGCATCTTTTTGTCAGCTTATGCATGGCAATGTCTTATCCCTGTCTCACAGAAATATCAAGCAGGGATGGCGCCCAAAGTAAGGGCGTAAGGATTAAGGTCACTTCAGCTCGACTGCATGTCACTGGCTCCTACGCTTTAGATAGCTGCTGGCAATGGTATAAAGTTTTTAACCTCAGAGTTGGGAAAAAGTTTTTTATGTGATAAAATAAATTTTGAAAACTCTGCTGTCTGTCGATGCCAGCAAGTACGTAGTTTGAACACATCCCTACTCTTTTTATTAGATTATAAACCACTACGACCGAACTGACGCAAAGAATGTCTGGGTTCTACTTATGGATAATGGATTGTGGGACAAAACTTTAGCTCGTAAAATCTCCAAAGCAATCCGTCAGTCAGGGACTAAAGTTATCGTTCTTGATACACAGAATATCATGCACGATATTGCTGACCAAGGGTTGGACTTTACGTCTGATAATTTCGAAGAGAACGTAGAGGAAGTTAGAAAAGAGATCTGTAAATAGATAAATGTATGAATCTTGAAGTATATCTTACAAAGAATTTTTACCAAATTTAATAAAATAGTTTTTTATGGATGAAATAATTTGATGTTGATTTTTTTTCTGCATGCATAAAAGAGTTTCCTCAAGTCTGAATTACATTAGGCTAGACCACACAATGACACAAACAAACGACTCGAAACTTGTTCATCTGAAATTTATGTGTCGTTGGAATGCTCTTTGCAGCTGAAGTTGAAGGAATAATGTTTTCAGTAAGATATAATAAATCCTGCACATGTGATGCAATGCGAAGCGTGTCTCATGTTACCAACGACGCACTAACCTCACGATGCACTAACCACAACAAACAGAAGATATATAAAGTTTGCCTTGTGAAGAAGCCAGTGCACCCCACGAAGACTTTTATTAAGACCTATAGACAGAATGGCTATTAAATAAAATATCAACAAATGAATATATTCGAACATTTTGACTATCAATTCGCTTTTGGTCTCAGTAAAGTCACCACCAATAATTATTCACCCAGCTCTTACCATGAGTTCAACTTTTGCATTTTTTCAGCGAAGTTTACGAAAAAATCCTCAAGAAGTGTTAAAAGAGATTCTCCAGCAAAGACAAAAAATCCCTTATCAAAAGTACTTTGGTACATGATCTGCAAACATGTTTCACTTCCCATAGTTTATACCTGTGACATCAGAAAATTGACTAAAAGCAGTTACACAAATTCTAGTTCATTAAATAAAAAATTTATACGCAAGTATAAATTTGCGGTTAATGGAGTAATATGTTCCAGAAGGTCCTATTTCACCCTACATATGGACCATCTCTGGCCTAGCTGTCATAGTTGTCGCATGCACTAATTTTAGCCTCAATAGAACAAAGCAATCTTTACCAGGCATGTTAATAGTTATAAAGTCCAAAATCTGAACGAACTCTGGCATCTTAGCATGTGAACAACGTATGCAAACTTGTGTTACGGCCAATCGAATCTCCCCTGGCGGTCTTTCCCTTCACATGGACTTGAACAATGCCCCCCTTTTTTCTGCAAGGATTTTGCCTGCTCCCCATGCATGCATTGGTCATTCGCAAGACCTCAGCCAATGCGTCCACAACGCCGGTCAAATATTTAAAGGTCTCTATCGAAAGGCAGTAATACATATATCTGCGTTTCAAAAGTAACTATAAACAAAAACTACAAAAATAAACCCCACCCACCTCCCCACAGCGAAGGACTGGCCGCTGTGGCCTCCGCATGTAAATATACTGATACGTTATGTTCGTTCATATGTTATCTCTAGATAGTCTATCGATATTCTTCTTGTAACTTGTAATGAATTGCAGTGATTAAACAATGGCAGGAAGTGCTGTCCTTCTGGACAACACCTCACCACGTGAAGTGCATTTGTACAGGTCATTTTGGTCGAAAACGCGACCTGATGACCTGACCTAGAGACTCGATGGGTCAGTCAGACAATATTTGAGTCGAGCTGACTGACCTGAACAGGGGTCCGCCTGTTCCCCTGTTACCTAGAGGTCCGCCTGTTCCTCTAGAAAAACCTATAGTTTTTGCATGCTCTGTCGGGTTTTGAGTGCCCTTACTGTCTCAGTATAACTAATGGTGGTCCCTAGATCATCAGGTCTCAACTCACTGAACAACATGCACAGAGCTGGCTCACACCCTCTGCATTTTAGAGGTCCTCCTGTTCCTCTAGGAAAAACTTCCTGCCCAAATTATATGCCACAAAAATGTCTCATTGTGTTGTTCCTTTACTAAGTTGCCAGACGTTCAAATCCTTATAAAGAATCTCAACATATAAACTACATTAATTGAGAGCTAATTGAGGATGTCTTTATTATATGCACCAATTAAAGAAGTCACGTCTTCGTCAAAACGATCTTCACAGTATTCATCTAAGCTATCACGACGTGGATCTTTGTTTAGGCTAAAAGGAAGAAATTGGAATAGTTGACTCTAAAGTAGCTAGAAATATAGGCTGTGACTAGACTCTGTTCTACGATGATCATGCGATAAAATACCTATCATGAATTTAGGCCTCGAACATTAATATTTCACTGAAAGGTCAAACACTATCTGGTTCTCAATGAATCCGAAAATCCGAGAATTCCGTTCACATTAGAACCATTTTTTAAAAAATCAGGTTTCAATATACCTTTGTGACGTTTGTGTATTTGGTTGATTTGTGTTATAATCAAGTTTCTCATCAACGTCCAAATTTGCACCTCTCGTTCTTTCGAGTTTGCCAACTATTGAAAAAATCTCACGCTTCATAAATGGTAATTTTGAAAAATTTTAAATTTTTTTATAAATCTTAAAAATCGATTCACATATACTGACCTGGATATTTCTCGCCCCTCTCCCTCGTTACAAATGAACTTATCAAAGCTATAAAAAGAATGACCAAAAGAAAACAAACAACAACCACAATCACCGTGAACCAGGAGCGTTTGTGGGGAACAGCTGATTCTACAAAATTACAAAAAAATATAAATCAAATGCGAAGATTGGGTAAATTAAGACAATTTTTTCTCTGGAAATGAGGCAGTCCTTTAAAAAATGTTTTCATGACTTCCAGAACCGAATTAGGCATTACCTGCTTGTACTGGTGCTCCTCCACAAATAATCAAACGTGTAGGTTCACTTGCATCGCTTTTGCCTATTTCATTAAACGCCAGCACGCGAAATCGGTATTTGGTCCAGGGCGAAAGACCTTTGATCGTTGTTTTATTCAACTTTGGATCTAACCGGTCGCTTTCATTTTTACGCCACTTCGTATCATTATTGGTGGCCATCTCTGCGATGAGGTATTTAGTTGAATTATAGTTGTTTCTCGCTGTACTCCACATTAACTTCGCAGAGAAGTTGCTGCAGTGTTCCTCGACTTCCACTTTGTCTGGTGCTTGAGGTGGAACTACCAGATAAAGAACGTAATGGAAGGATTTATTGATCTTTTAAAATTAATTGAGGACACGCTTTAAAAAGATTCAATTAAGTCTAGTGTCGAAATTTTTTTCTGTGGAAATAAGGCAATCCTTTAAAAAATGTTTTCATGACTTCCAAAACCGAGTTAAGCCTTACCTGCTTTTGCCGGTGCTCCACAAACAATCAAACGTGTAGGTTCACTTGGATCACTTTTGCCAATTTCATTAAACGCCCGCACGCGAAATCGGTAATTGGTCCAGGGGGAAAGACCTTTGATTGTTGTTTTATTCAACTTTGGATCAATCTGGTCGCTTTCATTTTTACGCCACTTGGTATCATTATTGGTAGCCATCTCTACGATGAGGTATTTAGTTGAATCATAGTTCTTTTTCCCTGTGCTCCACATTAACTTCGCAGATAAGTTGTTGCAATGTTCTTCGACTTCTACTTTGTCTGGTGCCTGAGGTGGACCTACCAGATACAGGACGTAATGGAAGGATTTATTGATCTTTTAAAATTAATTGAGGACACGCTTTAAAAAGATTTAATTAAGTCTAGTGTCGATATGACGACAACCTTCTGCTGCTTATTCATGATTGTCTGAAATCATCACGAGAAGAAAATGATTTCAGGGGGAAAAAATATTTTACTCATTTGTCCTCATTGACAAAAGACGTCAGGATCACATGAAAACCAGGCTTTAGACTTTAGTCATATGAAGTATAACGGAAGACGACCGATCTAGCGTTCTGAGCCCGACGAACTAAGCGCAGAGATCGCATAACAGGACATTACGCTACTTTAAACGCGACCCAACCTTTCTATCCTGTTCTCTCCCTATTTTAGCCCCCTATCCCGTTCTCTCCCTATTTTAGCCCCCCTATCCCGTTCTCTCTCTATTTTAATCCCCTATCCCGTTCTCACGCTATTTTAGCCCCCGCATCCCGCTCTCTCTCTATTTTAGTCCCACTATCCCGTCCTCTCCCTATTTTAGGCTCCCTATCCCGTTCTCTCCCTATTTCAGCCCCCTGTCCCGTTCTCTTCCTATTTTAGCCCCCCCCTACCCCGTTCTCTTCCTATTGTGGCCCCTCTATCCCGTTCTCTCCCTATTTTAGCCCCACTATACCGTTCTCTCCCTATTTTAGCCCCGTATGCCGTTCTCTCGCTATTTTAGTCTCTTATCCCGTTCTCTTCCTATTTTAGCCCCCTATCCCGTTCTCTCCCTAATTTAGCCCCGTATGCCGTTCTTTCGCTATTTTAGTCTCTTATCCCGTTCTCTCCCTATTTTAGCCCCCCTGTCCCATTTTCTTCCTGTTTTAGCCCCCCTATCCCGTTCTACAGTGACGTTAATACAGTTAGCAGGGTCGTAGCTAGAAGCATATTCATATTTTCGTCTTTTGGACGACTTATTTCTTTAGAAAGATATTGTTGCAAAGATGTTAGAAAGTTAGAGCATAATTACCCCGATGAAAAACTCTTCAGACACGTTTTACTGACCTCGTATAACAACTTTTGCCGAACTTCTTTTTTCAGCATAAGATGGTTGGTCAATGTATGCAATACACACATAAATTCCACTCTGACCAACCTGAAAACAAGGATATACCTTTATATGAGGAAAGCTGTATAATTCAGGTTACAAAAAGTAGTAACGTATCAATCACCGAAGATAACATCATATCGCATAAAAGTTGAAGTTAATACTCTCCAGCCGTTACATGCACATTTTGACTCAGGTACACACACGGAAAACCTTATTTGTGTTTAAATGTTACTTGTTAAAAATCCAATGAATGAAAAAAAATTTAATTGAATTTAGCGTTTGGTATAAGATTTCAATTAACTCTTTTTGCTAAATATTATTAAAATAAAGAGAAATAAAAGGTTTTCTTTGTGTGTTTTTGTTCGTATATACAGTGCCGTAGCTAGAAGCTTCATTTGGTGGGCGCATATTCCTATATTCGTCTTATGCCCGAATGATGTCTTTTGTATGCTATTGTTCCTATGGTATATAAACATGAATATATAAATACACCCCCCCCCCCTTCCAAATAAGCGGTCTAGCTACGACCCTGCGTATATGAAAACTTTGTAGAGCAAAGTTTTTTTTATTGATCATGCTTCAAAAATCGTATCTACGAACTTCTCGTGTTGTAAGCACTATTCTCTTTGTACCTGCGGATTACGCAAAACCAAGGAATGATTGTCACCAGACCAAACAATAGAATCATTAGGCTTAATATCTTGGTTATTGTGTTTCCACTTGTACTTCATTTTTTCTTTAGCGTGACTATCTCTATTACCTGGAATGATTGTAGATAAATATATAAATTAATATAATGTAGAATATGTACACAAATTCCTATGTATATCCTTTGATATTTAATTTCTTCACCATTTCTTTAGACTCAAACCGACCTCACCGACCTTTATTTATATAATTCACCGATAGCGACCCCATCTTTTATCATTTTTCGTGTTTTTCTAGTTTTTTGTAGCTGTTTTGCTTTTTACAAAACAATCTTTATATCGGATTTAGTCTCTCAACTGAAAGGTTTGGTCAATTCCATGTACTCATCCCAATTATTAATGTAGAAAAATGAGTTCCTTGAGTGAACGAAAAGTACGTATTTGTACATAAGTACATAAACTGCATATATATGGGTTATTAGCGACAGATGGAATCCCTTTAGCTCCAATAAGGAAAATAATCATAAAGAAATTTTGTACCTTTAGCTTCGCATTTTAATTTGACCGAGCCCCCCACTTTTGCGATGACATCCTGAGGTTTTGAGATAAAGGTCATTTCACTCATAACTTGAACATTTATCAGTTTAGTATCAACACCAAAATGATTCTCAGCTTTACACGTATAATTTCCCACATCTTGTTTTCTCACCGACTCTATCAGTATTGGAAAGGAGTAGATAAGAATATAATTGTTGACGTAACTTTTATAGCCAGGCTAAAATATCAGTCCGTAATAAGAACTTTTTTGTTTTAAGCGAGGATACCAATAAAACAGGAGAAACTAAGAAACGAACAAGAAGGAAAACTGGATCTTTGATGTTGCCATGCATACGACCCTGGTGTATGACTGTCTTACTATTTTACTATATCAAAATCAAACATCGATTTATGAAACTGTACTTTAAAATAGTCAAATAATTATTGTCAGTTTATGAATATCTGAAAGAAACGGTATAAGATTTATCTTTGTGAAATTTTTTACCGTCAAAATATTTCGATACGATCGCTAAAATCAAAGAAGTGCCCTTTCTTATTCATTTCATTCTTCTGCGTCAGTAGCGTTCTATGTTAATAGCTACCTATGACAAGATGTTCATTGTTAACCAGTGTATACCGCGAGAAAGAGAAATCTATCTTGACTCCATCTTTCTCCCACGTATTTTCAGCAGCAGGAGCAGCTTTAGCACGACATTTGATCGTCCCTTTCGCGCCCAGGAATAGTGTTGTCTTGCCAGTGTTCATGTCGAAGACAGGTTTCTCAGCTACATCAATAAATATAAGTTCAACAATTTTACACTTATCATGAAGATTTCTGAAGATTTGTCATCCTCAATGTCTGTATCATCACTATATATTTAGTTGACCAAGTAGCTACACACCTTGAACATCCAGATATGCAGTTTGATAAATATTATTCACGCCATTGTCAGCTACACATTGATACATTGCAGTATCATTTTTCTCCAATCTTGGAAAAGTTATTGTTCCTTCATCTATGTTATACTTTGCGCTAAATATTACAAAATAAACATTTTATCTATATACATATTAATTATTAAGTCTGTGGCACTGTGCATGGCAGTGACCGTTGCACACACTGAGCCGGTTCACGTCTTATATACGCTCACCACTCAAGTTTTATAAGGGATTCAGTGAACGACGTTTGGTCAGTGGCGTAGCCAGTCTGACGATTTTGTCCCACTATATGTAAATTTCGAGTTATTATAGTTATTCATGTCTTTAGAAATCTATTGTTTTCACAGTCAGTGAAAACCAAAATATTAGCATAGCGGGACAAATCGACAGGCTGGCTACGCTACTGCATTTGTTACAGCATGGAAAAAATAACTTTACCACTTGGTAGTAATAAAATGAACGGTCATTGCTTGATAAAAATGGTGCTTCGTGTTGTTTATAATATACGCTTTTCTAATAGTGTGGCATTATTACACCTTAATTTTTTACATGACTGCCACTATTTGTTCAATTAAATTAGGTTTGGGTTTGGATTGAATGTGCTGTACCTGCCATTGAGTTGAACACCATTTTTATACCATTGGTATGTTGGCACGGGGACACCTGTTGCATTGCATGTCCATGAATGACTGGAATAGATTGACGACTTCGCCGATTTAACGTCTTTAAAAACCCATTTAGGTTCAACTGTTGGTAAGAGAAGTAAAGTCTGGATTTTATATGTATTTGCTTATCAGCGAAGAAAATAAACGAGAATATATCTGACCTTTAAACGTCAAAGAACCCGCGACAGTATCACTGTTGTTTCCAATCGTTGCTGTACAGAAATATTGGCCTGAATGCTTTTCTTTTGCAGAAAGCAAAACAAGAAATCTTGCGTCACCGCCTGAAAATATAAAGTTATCTCTGCCATTTTTGATTGCATGTTCTTTCCCGTCAACACCAATTCTCCTCCACGAATACGATGGTGTTGGTCTAGGGACATAAAAAAGAAAAAGAAAAAATCGTCTTTAACTTGGATATAGTTTTATTTATTTAAAATTTTAGCGACGGCAAGGTTCTTATTTTCAATAAAGAACTCCAGCTCACATATACCTTCCAGTGGCTGCACATTTCATGGATATTGTGTTTCCCTCTTGAAATGGTTTGTTCCGAGGTAGGCTAGTCACAATTTTTGGCCCAAACGTTGTCATGTTTCCTGCAGAAAGACTGATTAATTTAGCCTCTTTATGTTTAGGGTTATACTGCAGTATATTACATGGCACAGAGTAATATATGCAGCCAGTAAACCTCCAGTAGTAATACAACAAATAAGAAGAAAACAATTTAATAGGTTCACTTACTCTTAACTGTGTTTAACACTGTCTTTACCTTCGTAGCCCATCCAAATCGATGAACAACACTACCAACTACTGCTTCCATGCCGCATACCCACTTATGTTTATTGAAATATTTCACATCTTTTTCAGTAAGATGTGAGTAGAACAATGTTCCATCATCCAAAACTATATAGTTTGGTTCGATTCTTATAAACTTTGTTCCTTCTCTCGACATTCTGCCCCATTTATAAAACTCGTGTGATCCAAGTTCATGCTTTGGACATTTGATGAAATTTTCTGACCGACGATGACATTCACTGTCCGGGTGGTAGGAAGGTTTGGGTCAAATTTCCCAAGATCTTGAAACACAATTTAGTTACAGAATGTACTTATACTGAGTATTAAAATTACAATTTGAGACAAAAGTGTAAGAACCACGTTTTTACAATTTTATTCCACCACTAAGAGCAGAATGGAGGGGGGGGGATTTTCAGTATATATCATTACACAGCACAATTCTACTTAAACCCGCTGTAAGAACAGAGAGCTATAGCGCCGCTCCTGATTTGTTTATTTGCAGAGATTCGAGGGCTGATTATGGGCATTTGAGTTTAAATTTTACCCAGTAAAAATTTCATTACCACATGACCTGTATCGGTCTGAGAAATCACGGTGTGCTAATGTGGCTTTGACTAAAACAAATATAGAGCTATACATTTTGCATTACTCTGTCTTTTAAACTCTACAATGATATAAATACAGAAGCTGCTTACAAGTAAACTCAACTTTAATTTTCCTTCCTTTGATTGTTCCAGCATCGGTTGTCATAACAAACTGGTAAATACCAGCATTTTTCTTGCTCTGACTATCTGCTGTCAATATTCTTGAGTCAAATGAAAGAAATGGTGGTTCACTATCCTTTGTTATTCTGTTGTCATCTTTTAGCCAGTAGTACTTTGCATCCAGGACAGTGTTTGTTTTTACTATTAAGTTTTTAAAGTCATCTGAGAAGCCAACGAAGTCTTCGGGATCATTCAAAATTTCGGGAACTAGATCTTGTCCTTAGAAAATGACAGACCGGCGTGTTATGTTCCGGACATGCAGCGCGAAGGGCACTAGGATTGCATGCTTCATTTCTGTTAACCTTGGCAAGACATATATTCAACAATTTTACCATAAGCTATGAGTTGTATATGAGCTGGGGCTAATTGTATAAAAGAATAGTTAACTTTTCACTGTAGTTAAGGACAGAGTTTGCCAACCAGAGTCGTGTATTTCTGAGTTAACTAGGATTTAACTATGCAAAATATAGTTAAAGAGTTTTATACAACCGGCTCCTTATAGCCATCGAGGCGAAGCCGTTCTTAAGCACGTTGCTTAGTTTCATTTTAAAGCGATGTGTTCAACCTAGGCGCCAAAAAAGTGACAAGCACCAAAGTCAGGTACTCTGTCTGAACCGCAGCCTAATGCAGCCAGATCTTCATAATAATAATAATAATAATATTAATAGGCAAACTCGGATTGAATTCTCCTGACAAATTCTCCCTGTATTGCTTGCTGATTTCACAATAATATAAACAGCGGATACGGTAGCGCAGCTTATCAAATTCAAAAATATCAAAGTGCGTAAGAGCTAATATAAGCATATATATAGTAAAATCTTACAATTGAAAATGAATGACAATGGTTATTTAACGTCTTACTTTTATCAACCATGCGCGAGGTCTTTAACCAAAAATATCGAACCGAGATATTCAGTGAGTTTAAGGCCCCGTTTACACTTTACCGGATTGCTTCCGGAGTGGATCAAATTTTGTAGCTATTGAAAGGCAGTAAAAAAATTGTCAGAGATCGAAATGAATGTACCAAATCTATAGCAAACTAATAAGCATTTGCAAACGAAGATATATCGTGACAAGCGATTCCGGACTTATCCGGTATAGTGTAAACGGGGCCCAAGATGCACTTGAGATGCACCAAATCTACGACGTGCACGTGAAGTAACACTGACGTTATTTCCACAGTTTCGCCTCAATAGGGCCGGATAAAATCATAGACGGCTGGTGGTAAACAACGTCAGAGCCGTGCGCAAAACAAATTTAAACTTCCTAACCCTAACCCTATTTTCATTTCATGCCTGCTTTCAGCATATTCTTTTAGATATTCTCTGTTTTTAATCTCGCCGACCATTTTAGGAAAACAGGAAATCACATTGCACCACGGTTCCATCTCAACGAAAGCGATGCTTGCCATTGTATAAAATTGTAAAATGCATGCGTTGATAACTAAAGCTCGGTCAATACCCCAGACTTATATACACGAGACTCACCAGCTACAATATAGACTAGTGTACACAGAGCCAACCAAATCATGGTTTGTTTTGCAAAATTGTAGAAAACTTGAGGAGTAGAGCTCTAAATCAATTATACATAAAATACTGGTCAGTTAAAGTACATACAAAGTTTGTATGTTGAATATATTTATTAGGAACTGCATGTAAAAAGTTGACAAATTTTACGACAATAGTTTCAAAGATATACCAATATAAAAACGACTTTTGACAATTGTGTCAGTTTGAAGTGTTTCGTGAGAGACGAACGTTTGAACCTTCTTAATGCACCGTACTGGTAGCTAGCTCAAAAATACATGGAAGTGAGGCTAATGTATCACGTCATTTCTTATTTTTCCAGCCTCATTCCCACGTTGTGCGAGCTTATATTACGATGTAAAGTTATAATGCTTGTTAAATACCAAATCACATTTTGGTAATAAGAATACTGAAACAAAAATCTTGTCAACTATAAACAATTCATTCGTGAAGGAAACATTAATGACACCGTTTAACCTGAAATCAATGTTACGCCGCGAAGAATCAATTGAATCAGCTGATGTATATAATATTACTTTTCAGTTCATGCAAATGTTTCGATGAAGTGCTTTAATCAAAATCTAAGACAGTTTTATAGTTGTTACATTACAAGGTCATGCAGTTAAACATCATTTTATGGTATGCTCTTAAATTAGCATAACATTTTTTAAACCATGGAGGATTTTAATTTTCCTCCACGTAAAAATGCCCCAACATAGCGTGTGAATGATTTCTGCACGTGCTAGCTCTGATCGATGAATATGGCCAGGTTCACACTGGCTCCTAAGAATCGGGGAGCCTCTTAGGAACTAATGTGAACGAGGCCTTACTTTTCGGTAGACAAAGCATTTTGCACACCAGCGACCTCAGACAAAGGGAATTCCAGATTCTTAGGACAAGTGTGAACTAGACTCATACTTCATGCAAGTTATAATATTTTTACTTTGTATATATTCTATACTCTACTCGTTCTTCATTTCCAAAAACATGCGCGTTAAATAATTATAGGGCGATACGAGAAGACGGAAATGATGGCGGATGTTTACCTGAAATAGATAGAATGCATGCATGGTCCGTCTTTGTTTCAGAACTCAGAAGCAGGCCGAACTTCTTAAAAGCCCGAAAGAGTAAATATACTCAGATTTATTCATCTAATCTATATTCAGACCTCCTCTTGTGCCAAACTTTATGTTAACGAGCTTTTGTTTAAATTCATTTGTTTCAGTAAAGTCTTTGTTTAAGTTTGACATCTGAATTTGACTCAGCACATGAAACGTTGGACGCCTGACCCATAATCTCTTGCCTTGTGTGATTTTAAAATACATTCTTAATTTCCTTTGTTATTATAGCATACTGTAGTCACACAAAGTAAGTTGACCAGCTTCCTCGGTTCTCATAATCGTAATCTATCGTACGATGTTTTTGTAGCCAGTGGCGCATAATATTCTTTTAGAAATTCACCTTCAGAGTACAAAAAATGTATCGTAGCTAGAGCATGCTGAGCATCGTACGAAGTATTACAACCATGCTTTCCATAAAAACAAGGCTTTAAAAGACATTATCTATGAATATAAGAATAAAATGTGTTTTACGTACCTTTTGAATGAAGTTCGTGCTAAACTATACAACTTTCATAAGTGACTGACGTTCAAAGGTCTGCGGTTTCTTTATGGTATAAACATTCTGTATATACTGTAAATATACAATTAACATATATAGTATGTGTAAATTACCATGGAGGAAGTCTTCGATATGACGTCATGATGGGTTGAGAATAAATTGTAAATGACATTTTTTGGGGAAAAAACGCATATTTAACTCTTCCTCTATTGTCGTAGAGATCCGTTGAGTCAATATTAGATAAACCTCACTCGTCGCCAAGTCTATGGCGCCAATAAACCCGAGTTGCACGATTGCAAAACCAGTTTATTAAAACACAGTGATTAAAAATAACTCTATATGCACTTTCAAGCTCAGATCGAGTTGTAATATTTAGAGTTAAGGCTGTTTTTTGCATATTCATACAGATGGCGATGCATCCATACACACGCAAGGCGAGTAAATCTTTCCAGATACCAGATACAGATAAGTAAAGTCTAATGACATCATATTCAGGTGGTTATTCAATGAATATGAAATCTACATGGTATCCCAAAGAAAAGTGACCATATAGAAATTATCCTGTATAATTTCAAGTCTGAGCCCTATGCTAAACCCCGAGATGCATGCAGACATCAGCTTCTTGAAATTAACTCCTACACTATAATATTCGACTTATATACAAGGAGCTCATGCATGCATGGTTCAACTGATAGAGGAAAAGTAATATAATCGTTGTAATGCAAACGACATAGTATAAATAGGATAAATCATGATAACACAAATATTGTAGAACACTTACCTTTGCAAATCAATACAGACTCGATATCGATCGATTATCCCGCTCTTCTCGGTCACCAAACGAAACAGCTGTAAGCCTGCATGCATATAATGATAAACAATAAACAGTTCGTTTATACAGCGTTCACATCAAACGGGATAAACTTTTGTTCATGGGGCGATTAGAAGAAAATTCGTGACAAACATTCCCATCGGCGGATCTCAGCGTTATGGTGGTTTTCAACTATAGTGATATGTTTTGCGCAAGACGATATTTTGTTTTTGTTTCAAAGCTCTCAGCTGTGAACATCTGGAAAAATTGTCCAAAGACAAAAGAATGAATTCGCTTTGCATGCACGAAAGATATCGCTGGTGGAAAACCAGCATTCAAAATAAATTATACTGCAGCAAATTCCAAATGTACATCCAAATATACATCTGAATAACATCAGAATATAATGATACTAATGGGTCTAAATTTCTAAAGACTATTTGGAATTTAAATCTGCTAGTATACTGATCAATCTGAATTGTTTAAATGTTCTAGTTTATTTTGACTAACTTAAAATAAGAGCTCAAAATATGAGCTGTTCTAGTTGATTTTGACTCTAAACCAGTCACTGCGAAGGCAGTTTTCCACTGGCACTGGACAGTTCTATATGCCGTGCATGAATCTATCGATAAAATCTTGAGCGATATTGTGCGACCGACGCATTATGACATGTTGGGATAACCAAATCCGGCATTTAGTGTGAAAGGTCTATATATTTACGTGCATAGATTTTATGTCAATTCACTCCAATATACACATGCACTAAGTAGAATTATTATCAAAGATTTACTGGGCATTTTTTGACTATACCTTATTACAGCTATATAGTATATACAAGCAAAAATTATTTCTAATAATAATAATAGATTCATATCAATACGAATCAATATTTGTATGTGTATTAAAATCAGGATTTAAGGACAAAGATGGTATACTTACAGAAATGCTATACATTCTTACTTTCTCTCTGAAATCATTTAAAGGAAAAAGGATAACGTGCATGATTAAACGGTCAGTTCACAAAACATAATATACTGTGAATGTTTTAAAGTTTGAAATCATTATCGACATCAACTCGGATCAACACTTCACTCTTTTGGCCGGACATCTGCTTTTGATGACTGTGGGAAAGCTGGAAGCGGTTCATCAGTTCATGTATTCTCGCATTTGTTCTTTTCAAAAGTAGATTTGATCAGATAATAAACCACATCTAGCTTGAGAAAATATCTAGGAAAATTTTCAGTTGTGTTGACAATTTTGAAATGCGCACTACAGCATATTTTAATCAATTCACGAGTATATAGCTAGTGTTCTAGCACAAGCGGCCTATTAAGAAATGCATTATTCATCACACACACACATGAAATGAATTTCATTGGTTCTTCTCGCACTAAAGCCAAGTTTACACTAGAAGCCTAGATCTGGCCTGGCCATGGTATCCGATAGCAAGATAATTGTCAAACATAATCAGGGCCTGTTTACATGGAGCCGAGTTACCCGGCTAACCGAGTTACTCGGCAGGACCGAGTTCTCGCCTGTTCTATATATTGTATGGATATCTCGGTTGACTGTTTATATGGCGCATCCGAGTAACTCGGCGTGACGAGTTCTCGGCAAACTGTGCCGGGTTCTCGGCAAGGCGAGTTACTCGGTTATACCATGTAAACACTTTGCAACGGGAAACTCGGCTAGGCGAGTAGAATATTCGCCAAACACGCATGCGCATTTACGTTTCATTTACCACCATTGTAAAAACCTTTTTGAAATTTCGCGCCCTACATACTAGGTACGTAATGTAATTACAATGTACCGTAACAAATGCCGAGTTACCCGGTTCCATATAAACACAGTACTGTTTTGTCCCGGCAAGGCGAGTAACTCGGTTACCCGGGTAACTCGGCTCCATGTAAACAGGCCCTCAGTGACAAAATACTTGGGAAAGACTCCAAACACGCCGAAAAGTGGTAACTACTAGCATCGATCCTATACAGATTATACTATTAGGTTGAAAATTGGTCAGGTAAAGGAAGGTACGTAGTTTTTTACCAGCTACGTAAAGCCCCAAAAATTGTTCAGGTGAAAGCAGCCCTTTACCAGCTGGGTCCGTTCACACCTTCTTCTGTAGGCCTGGGGCCGGTTGTACGGGGGCTGGCGCTATCCACCGGATAGTGATTTTTTCAACCGTTCTAAAAATGCTCGAAAAGCGATAAAATTCATCTTTGGAAACAACAGTTGTTAAAGGGATCCTCGATTTAGGAATAATACTAAGATTTAATCAATGTTATAGCAAATAACAGACGATCAGTTTAAAGCGATTGAAGTTGAATTGATTCACTGTAACCGGTGGATAGCGCTATTCGGCTTTCATACATCCGCTGGATTTCACGGTCTAGACCACGCCCAGGCCAGATCTAGACCAGATAAACCACGTTCACACTAGAACTAGACCTTGTCCAAGCCAGGTCAAAGCGCAAAGTGTAATGGCGGCTCTTCCTGGATTTTGTGTCCTGGACCATGCAGGTCCAGGCCAGGTCCAGGCCAGATAAACAACGTTCGCACCTCAGTAAAGCCCGCGCCGCACACCTGAGCTATTAGCTGAGCTAAAGACCACGGATGACTGTTAGCTCAGCAAGTTACTCTCGTGTGCGGATAGTTTTTTTGTGAGGAATTCACCTCGAGAGGCAAGTTTCTCACGTGTGCGGATGGTTTTCGGTCTGAGCTAACAGCCCCGCGTTGATGCTGAAATAGGTCATCCAAAGGTAATGGCCCAGAAGCCCCAGTTATTCGTGAACTGGACATACTGATTATAATATCTAAATTCCATGCACTGCGTCTTTTGCACCTTAATTGAAATATGGCTTTTTGTACAGTTTTAAATTTTGATCCCTCCAGAATTATACAAGTGCTTATACATTAAAATGCTATTGCAAAATGAAGTTATATTTAGATTGCATGAGCCTGCATGTTCCCTTAGTTGAATCTCTTTATAATCACATTTCAGAGAGGCTATTAAGTATTAAAAACGGGCGAGGAAACGTTTATCTACTAGCTATAAATTGTTCTAATCTACTACTTAAATTGCTTACAATCCACACGCCGTTGTCTAATCAATTGGCGACTGTATTCCCATATTCTCAGCCAAAATTCTGATTTTGGAATCAACACAATCCCAGGTAAAATAACCTTGCTCTAAATGTCGCACATTATCACTTGTATCTTTATAATCGGCTCTTGCGTGCATAACTAAAAAAAAGAAAAAGAAAAAATTAGACATTCAATTCACAGCATTTTAAACTATAACAATGAAGACGTTTGCTAGCGTTTACTTGAGCTAAAGGAGTGTTTTTGCTTGTGTTTTTAGCCGGAGAAAGTTTATAAATAGTCTTGGTCGAGACATACAATATGCGTAGAATATACAGACATTTAATTTTGATCGCGGCAGAATGAGTGCAGTCGTTTGGCTTAGATCAAGTTCACAGAACATGCGTTCCGTCATTTAGTGTTGATTGAGTACACAGAATATGCGTGCAGCGTCGTTCAGCTTCGAGCCTTCGATCCAGTATACAGAATATGTATTGTTTTACTTCGATCGAGTACAGAGAATGTGCGCCTATAAGACGGTCACAAATATGTCACATGCGACTACGATTTATTTCGATTGGCCAAAATTAAAATTGGCCGCGTGAGAGAATAAGTCTTGCATGCAAAAAAAACCTGACCGAATTTAAGACTGTCGCTTTAGCTCGAGTATTAATATTTACCAGCCGGAAAAAATATTTCATACGGGGCTTTTCATGCGACAAATCAAGTCGGGAGCTCATATATATTGCATTACCTCGGCCATTATTAACTGCCAAGATTTCATCTGGTTTCATTTTGTACGAAAAAGAGGTTCTTTTGTCCTGCATGAGTTCGGAGTAACGAAAATAGGCTTTATAAAAAGATTTCATAAGCTTCGGTTCCAGTGGCATTTGATTGTCACGATACTCGTCACTATAAAACAACTGCTTCAGTTTCTTTGCCGAGTCAAGTCTATATGGAACAAAAACGACATGCAAGAACATTTAGAATATCAATCACGAATATTCGAATATTCGCTTTCGGTTAAAGAGTGGTAAAACACACGTTTTTCAATACTGACCGGATCAAATGATGACTGGAGAGAGTATGCATTTTTCCAAAAGTGGTTTTTGACGTGCAATTGCGGAATGTCACTGGTGTGTTCACAAGAATTTCAAATGACTCTGGATCTTCCTCGTAGAGGAGTTTTGCTGCATGAAAGCCATCAACTAATATATTTTCACCACCTTCCCCTTTCGTTTGTTCAACACAATGAAGCATCAAAACCTAAAAAATATTCAGGGGCCAGTTGTTCAAAAGACGGTTAACTTAACCTAGGGCTAACACAAATTTTTGGCTACACCAATTTTCAGTTAGTCTCTTGTTTCAAATATTTGAATATTTTTCCATGAGTACTTTCTGGTTCAACAACATTCAACTAGCAACTAGGGATGAGATTGGCAACCCGAAAACTTACATCATGCTTTCAGGCAACATTTCTACCCATGGGTAACCTAGTCTAACCTTTCTAAATACGGGTAGGAAGGGCGCACTGTGTCACACTGCATACGTCATCACGACCTTTTCGCCGCGCGAGGAATTTCAACAGTTTTTATTTTCATAGCACAACTTTAAACCTAAATTTTTCTTCTAATCCGAATTTGTCGAATTTTTCTTACTTCTAGTCCAAATTTATCGATAATGTTGGTATCTTTATGATCGGGAAAGAACAAATTATCAAAAAATATAAAAAACCCGAAATCGAAATTTTCATTGCATAGTGGAGTATGCAAAAGTGCGGTAACTTCCCGGGAAATATACACTGCCCTAGTTTGTCGTACTTATAACTTAATAACTACAATGTTATGTTCTTTTTAAGATGAATTACTTAACTTACCGCGGCTTGGACTTGGTTGTAGGTAAGATCAGTATGGAAGGGCAAATAGGAAGGGGCATAGCTAATTTCATGTTGCCCACCGCTTGCTTTTACTTCACTTATTAGTCTTAAAGGGAAAATTATCACGTCACGTATTGAGAGCGAACATAATCGTTCAATGCTTTCTTGTCTATTAGTTTCCTAACGGCTAACAACCAGTTTTGTTATCGGCCAGTGCATGCATGGCTATTCAACTACACGGCCATGCACGATGAAAAAATATTCTTGCACATATTTTGAAAATAAAGCGATGTGGCATTTGCAACTTTTTAATTTCTGCATCTGTAAACAGTTGCTAAAAAATTCTGTTTGTATTAGTTTGCAGAACCTTTGAATTATAGGCAAAACCTTTGATCCATAGGCTTGATGATATTTTTATCGTACTAACCCGTAACTCGTTGTCATAAGATAGCCAACTCTATGACCTAAAGTTCCTAGATGACCAGACCCGCTAGGCGCATTTTCTATCTTAGTTATTCCAGTTCGAGTTGCTATTTCCACCAACCACTTAAACAGCTCTTTATCATCCTTCAGTAACTTATCAAATTGAAACGTAGGCAACTTCCGTTCTTGAGACATGTCTGGACCCCATAATTCAATACCCTTCCTTATCACACCAGATAAAGGTTGATCTTCACCGGGTGGACGATACCTGAAATTATCGGATTTCAGATGGAGAAAGAGAATCCCAGATTCTTAGAATAAGTGTGAACCAGGCTTTGCATCAATGCTATTAGACAGTTTGGGAAATACAACGGCAACATCTAGCGCAACGTACCATAGACAATCCTTTTGTATTGTCTATGAAGTATGAATGTAGCTACTCATCAACCGAATAGTGCATAAATTTAATCGCATGATGGATCGGGCAATGCTATAAAGGGTATCGTAATCATTACAATAATAATTTTGTTCATTTTGGTCTTAGCCGTATTCCGTCCCGATATTTCAGAAACTCATCAGATTTATCCCGCGTCCAAATTCGAATTTTCGAGTTTAAAATTCTCGACAGTACCTAAACATCGAGGCAGGATTTGAGTCAGGACTCAAAAGGACAAAATTCAGGAAAAAATTTTTATTCTATGAATAGTTGTATGAATCATACCTCAAATGTTTTAACCAGTCAACCGAATAATTGCTGGTATGACCATCTTCCCATTTTACTGCAAGTTGATTGTGCTCAGTATTCCAGTTAGCGAACTCTGCTGTAACATCGAGATCAACCTCTTTTGGCGTATATAATGTACGTGTTTTTCTTTTGTCATTACAACAGGCTGGACAACGGCAATTCTCGCGCAGGTAAATATATGGATATTCATCAATACTTCCATTGATCCACTTGACTTCTATACATCCGTCCGTATTCATGGAAACATCCTTCACTTTACTTTTGGTAATCGACGACGCCAGGCAACGCCGTGTGTTGTTGTACAAACTACGAAACTGACGCCGAAAGTTAAAGCTACGTGCTATCAGAGACTGCATTCTTCAACCAGAGCATGAGATCCCTGTAGATCAACTGGTGATTAAAACACAAAGCCAGTGCATGGAGTCGCCAGCTTGACGAGTTGGGGGAGGGAGATATATTTATGTATTTATATATTTATGGACTGTTTTTACGGACAGTGAACATGAATATATGAATATGTCCTCAGCAGTTCATATAATAAACAGATTATTGACCTCGCTTGTTCGATCTGTAATGTGAAATATCAGACCGAGGTTTTTTTCATAGTAAAAAGCGTCGGTCTGATATTTCACAGAGCCCTCACGTTCAGTCAATAATCAGTTATTATTATATGGCACGCGTCACTTCCGGTGAAATGGAGCTCAGTGATTGGCTGAGAAGAATTTTCCCGTAACGGACCGGCACTTTCCCATAATGGACCGGCACTTATCCCATAATGGACCGGCACTTTCCCGTAACGGACCGGCACTTTTCCGTAATGGACCGGCACTTTCCCGACGATCCAATTCGACGATCCATTACGAGATGAAAAACAGAGAAGTTCTGAATGAATAAGGCACAAATAAAGTCAGGAAAAAATTTAATCGCTACTGAAAATAACTGATAAGACGTTTCCAGACAGTTTAGGTAAACTAAGTAATTGAATATTTTGTTTTTGTTTTTATCAAATGCGTACCAGGCTAATAATACGAATTCGTGCATTTCTTGTTTGTTTAATATTATTATTATCATTATTATTATTATTATTTCTAAATCTTTATACAGGATAAAAGCTTCAGTTTCCACACAATATTTATACAATAAAATACAGTGCGACAACTGTTATCAACGTTTGTCCTGCAAACCTAGCTATATCTCTAATTATAATAAACTAATTAAAAAGTGTAAAATATCAGTAGTACAATATAACAAATTTCATTGATAGAGTTGAAATGTTCCTTCAAGCCTTTCCTAAATTTTTTCAGAGTTCCCACTAATCTTAAATTTAATGGCAGAGCATTGTATAATTTTTGCATGACTTTGTAGTTGTATGCAAAAAAGTTAATATATTTAACTATCATCAAATGTGGTATAACAACTACCAAAATAGATAAAAACACTTCTCGACGTTTCGACTGGAGGGCCTTCGTTAGGAAGACGATTGTTTACCGCAAAGACTTGCTTTCTATTTTGACCTTATCCACCGTTTAAGCTAAACGGGCTTGATACAACCTTTCCACGCCTTCCATGACACTGTTAACCCATGCCTAACAAGACGCCGTTCTGGCGTTAACTCCGGCGCACATGCCAGTCTTCAATTTAGAGCTTCTGAACATAAACAATACAGTTCGCGTATTGTTTCGCATACATAATCTAAACCTAATCGAACAGCATGAAAAGAACGGTTTATTTGTTCCTCTTGCAGGAATTGCCGTATCATGCGAGCGAAATCGAATCGCGCATTGGAAAATTAGCCAAAGCTGTGCACCACAACTCTTGGGAGATAAGACTGGGACGTAGATAAATACGGTCACATACACATTTTAAATACTAGTATATTTCGCGCCATTACAGACTTGCGACGACGAAAAATAAAAAAACAAAAAAAAAAAAACAAAACCAAGGCGAATTTTCAACTCCGTCGCTGACGCCGGAGTAATAACCTAATATAATTTAATACATAAGATATGCCTGCGGAGGAAGCTAGATACAACTGGCTCCGCCACCCGGGAGTTAATAAAACCGGAAGTCGTGATGCCACGTCCCATCACGCGAATTATGAACTTTGAATGGACGACTCGCGCTTTAGACAAATTTTTGATCGAAGTAACTAGATGAAAATAAATCATCGCAGCTAGAAAGATCTTACTTAAATTAGTGCAAATGCGAAGTTTGGTTGCAAAATTTTGTAAAATACGGAAAGTATAGCCATGCGAAGTTGGCAAATTTTGTATACTTTTGTATTACGTGCGGAAATTACGTATACAAAATTCGTGGGCTTTGCATGCCTATATTTTCCGTAATATTAATTTACAACAACTCGCAGCCAAACTTGGCAGTTTCACTAATTTTAGTACGTAAGAAATTAGTCTACAGCGCAAGTCGTCCAATTCTCAGCTGGGGAATTCTTAAAATGAAAAGACCGATCTTGTCGAGTTCGCCGAAGGCGAAGTAAACATGGTGGTCGAGGCTCTACGAAACATGATGCTTCCCTCGGGCCTCGGGATCAGTCAATAAGTCTTAAATATTACAAAATTAATGGCTGCCTATGGCGATAAATGCATAAATTTACTTTCGCACGATGTAATTCCTGTTAAATTGCATGGTGAAACCATCCGTAATCGCCAAAAGGATCAAACATCTCTGACAAAAACTCACAATCGATATCTACATTTCAAACTCGAGGAGATGAACTGTACAGGGTACATATTTAAACACATGCAGGGATGCCGGAAGTTATACAGGACAAAGGGTGCAGTTTCTTATGAAAAGGGCATATGTTCACTGACCGAAAGGAGCAAAGATGGCCAAATAATGCGCACTACAACGTACTTAGTTATTGCAAAAGCGCAATTGCACCCAAGTTGTGCACCCGTGAAGTTGTAAAAACGAAAGGCAACGGGCGCAACTGCACCAGCTGCGCCCGTGGTTCAGGCATCAATGGACTCAAACACAAACAAGCCCATTTAGTTTAAACGGCGGATAAGTCAAATTTAAATAACACTCTTACATCTATCTTAAATGAGTCAACTTGAATATTGAATATTATGCACTGAACTGATGTAGTTGTAAACAGTATTTTTCAGTATTAGGGTTAAAAACATTTAGTTTGCTTCTTGAATAAAACCATAGACTTGCTTTCTATTTTGAACTTAACCACCGTTTAAGCTAAACGGGCTAGTGTTCGTACTGTGGAAATTAAAGTCTTGGTGACGAACTTAGTGCTCTAAATTAACGAAAGAACTGAATATAACTATAAATTTAACTCACTTTGGTTTACACGCGCACCAAAGACAACGATTTATAGGACATGAAGTAGATTATTTGCGCCAGCAGCGTCCACGGTCCAACACAAAATAAGTAAAATATAGCTGACGCGCGACTAACGCGTGACCGTCACGCAATTGCTGGCCTGCAGGTGTCACACGGGGTGTCCCCCGAAAATTTGGGCCCCGCAGGCTATAATTCCTCGGAAATTTCCACAGATATAGGTACCATACACAAAACCCCCAAGAGCAAGTTGATGCATGCCTTAATCGAAACAAGTGTCCAAACAAGTGTCACCCAGTGGATCACATTCCAGAAGGAAAACCCACGTTCCTTGGGTACTTGGGGTAGAATTGTATCGGCTTTATTGATTTAATATTATTTTTTGATCAAAGCTTTCCACTAAATCCAATGTTATGATATACGTCATAATCTGCTAAAGTGTGTTTTATACCAAGGTTACTGAATTTTTTTAGGTCTTTTTTAGGTCATATCTTATAATCTTAAGTCACAAGTTCCTAATTGTGAAAATCGTTTTGTGTAATTTAACGCTGAGGAAGCCTGAGTTATGATTTTTTATAGCATAACATTTATAGTACGCGCGTGCTGATTGGTCGAGAAACGTGTTTCTATTTAACAATTAGACAACGAGTCCGAGCTGACTATGAGCGAATAGTCTATTCGTTCATAGACAACGAAGGTGAGTTGTATAATTGTTTCAGTATACACCCTTTCGAGAAAATAATCGAACTACCGCAATTACACCGAAAAATAATTTAATTCAATTTTATACGGTCGCGCGAGCGAATTTTTCCCAAACGTTCACCATCACGAATAGACAATGGTTGAGTAGCCAATCAGAATGTAGGATTTGTAACAGACAATAGTCTGGTGTATACTAAAACTGTATAGAAACACGGAAAATGTTTTCTATTTCTTAAATGTGTGATGTTGTTGGCGTGACTTCAGTAGCACACTAGCACATCATTTTACGCGTTCCTTCAGGCTTTTAACTCTTGATCCCGATTAAAAATTTCCATACAAATGATGCAAACTATAAATACCAACAACTCCCTTTCAGGACTTTGGTTTTGAAGAAGCTCTGCGAGTTCCGTGTTATATATATTGCGAGAGTGTTTTCCAGAACAAGGGATCAAATTTCCGAACTGTCAACAATAGGAGATATGTTTTCCCAGAAATTTAGCGAATTTTTTTGTAAGCAGCTAAAATCAGTAAAATGCATAGGAAAGGTCAGGAAATAACCACTTATTGATTGATTGATTTATTTAATGTCGTTTTTTGATAAAAGATCTCGACAAGAGTCTAATGTTACAATCCATGGTTGTTATACTGAACTATGCCACTGAATTTATAAGCCTAAAAAAATAACTGGTAATATTTTGGAAATTCCAATTTGCGCTTTCTATCCTTGGTTCAAAGCTAAGCATTTATTATTTTAGGTCCTTTACAAATCAGTAATTCTAGTAATATAGTAGTAAAGTGTGTGTCACCGGATTCGCTTGTCACGATATCTTTGTTTGCCTTTAAAGTTATAGTTATAGCTAAAGTTGCCAATAGTTATTAGATGGCAATAGTTATATTTCGATCTCTGACAGCAAAATTTTTTTACTGCCTTTCAATAGCTACAAAATTTGACCCACTCCGGAAGCAATCCGGTAATAAAAGTATAAACATTAGCACACAGAATAGCACAGCACGCATTCCTTGAACGTATTAGCTCTTCGCCGCGATGAAAAGTTTTCACACAAAGAAATGATGCAAACTAAGTATGAAGTACAAACGAACTTTTACGATCTTGCTTTTAGAAGAAGCTTCGTGATTTTCGAGCTCTTTTCGAAACGATGAAGTATATGCTTTCGAGGGGGTCAAATTTCCGAAAAGGGGGCCAATTTCCTAGGAAATATGACCCAGG